CGCGCGGACCGGGGGCGGGTGGAAGGTGCACTTCGCGGGAGGGCGGGCGAACCGCGGCCTCCGGCCCCCGGCCCCCGCCCCGGCGCCCCTGCCCGTCTCCTCCCGGCCTCCGCGCCTCGGGAGGTAAGAGGAGCCCAGCGCCCGGGGTCTCGGGGTTCCGGGAAGGCCACGTGCAGAAGCGGACGGTTCGTGCGTGCGGGGAGCTGGCGCGCCGGCTGGCAGCGAGGCGGGACCGCTTTCCTGCGGGCCACGGGGCTGAGGCCGAGCGCGGGGTCTGGGCCGTGGGCGCCCGCTGCTCTCTCCTCCCGCCGCCCAACAGCCCCTGGGAGAGGGTGCGTGATGGGTGGGTCGGGGCGCTGGATCGTCATGAGCCACAGCCCCATCGGGCCCCCTGCGTGAAGAATCCCAGCGGAGGGGGTGGGGAGGAGGGGACCAGCCCCGAACCCCGTCCCCAAACGCTCCCCGCCCGGCCTGGCCTCCGTCGGGCCTGCGGAGCCAGAGGACCCGCGCGTCCCCAGGTCGCGAGCGCCCCCTGCTGCCGCCCGCGCGGAGAGAGTCTCCAGCCCTCCGGAGACCCGAGTCCGGGGGCTCCGGAAAGACTCCCCATCCCGGGGGAAGCGAGTGCTCAGAGCCTGAGACGTGTGCCTTCAGCCTTCCTGTTTCTCCCGCAGCGGCCCCAGCTTCCTCCAGTAAGGGCAAAGGAGGTAAGAAGAAAACTGGCTGGGACTCACAGGCAAGAGTCCGTAGGGGGGCGTGGCGGGCTGCAGCCTCAGAACTTGGGGTGGGGGGCGGGGGGATACACAGTCCAGAGAAAAACCAGGTCTGGGGGCGGGCGTGAGGGGAGGAGCTTCGCTTTGCCTCTGTAGTGACCCCTGGGGAAGCGGCGGACCCCCCTCCAGTCCTGCCTGGATCCTCCTCATACTCCCCGACGTCCCTCTGGGAGCGGTAATGGTTGGAGTAAGAAGAAATTTCTGATTAACTCCCCTCCCCCCAAAGAGCTTCTCACCCGCTGCTCTCCCTCCTGCTCCTACCTGCTGTCCCCGCAGCCGTGGTCACTAGCACCAGCTTCGGGAGCCTCAAGGGCATTTTTTCACTGGTTCTCGAGCCCCTAATGCCATAAGCCCAGCCTAGAGCCAGGCCCCCTATCTACAGCCCACAGCTCTGCATGGCATCCTCTGTGTAAACATTAATCCACCTCTGAAAGTGGGGCTTCACCAAAGGTCCCCCAAACCAGCATGCCTGCTGGACTTTCGCTCCTGCCTGCTCACTTTCATGGGGGCAGAGCGTGTGGCCTCTCAGTGCCTGCAATGTCTAACCCCCACCCAGGCTTAGATGGGAGATACCTGGGACCACCACCCCCCGGCCAATGGGGGTGCTGGGGTAGATTCCTAGGATCCTCCTTGACCCGGGGCTGGCCCAGTCATCCTGTCTGACTGCCCAGCTCGCCCATTAAAAGTGTGTGTGCCCACAGACCGATATGGTAGGTGCTGCCTAGGATAATTTCAGAGAGGACAGCCACCCTCCTTTGCCCAACCCCCACCCCCAAAGGGCCTCAGCCTGCAGCAGATGACTCCAGAGATGAGTGCTTCCCAGCTGGGGAGGGCCTGAGCCCATGTCACCAGGGATGGAGAGGCCCCAGTAGCCCCTTCCCTAAGGAAGGACAGAGGGGTGGTCATTGGAGCTGGGAAGCAGCTACTTAGGCAAATTTTCGCCTGTCCCCACTGCTCCCTGGACCTGGGCCTGGAGAGTCTGGGCACCTGGAGGCCCACGCGGGCATTGGGAGGAAGCTTCTTTCCACCATCTCCAACCATTCTGGCTGGGGGCCAGTGAGTGTCTCCCCGGACACCGCGACCAGTATCAGCCTTTTGTCTTCTGGCCCAATTTCTTTAAAGGGCCAAGCCTCCAGGACGCTGTGGGAATCGAGGCCAGGGTTGTCACATGCCTTCCCCACCCTGCAAGTCCCCACTGAAGACATTCGCCTAGGCCTTTCCAGCACCAAGCCAGGTGACAACAGCCAGGGATAGAGTCTACAGCTGGTGAACGTGGGAGATGTGTGCCCTCTGGGTGGCAGGAGCTGCCCCAGCGCCCACAAGGCTCAGCTACCGCCCCAGGCTATTCTGCTTCCACCCTGCCACATCCTCCCAGCCCCACCCCAGGATGGACAGGCACAGCGTGGGTTCCACTGGCTCCCAGGGCACTGAGGGCCATTACACCCAGGGCACTGCGGCTCTCAATCTCCCCCACACACACACCTTCAGGTCTTGCCGGCTCCATCCAGCCCACGCGCCTGCCAGGTGCAGGACTCAGAAACAAGGCTTCCTTCAGCTCTTCCCAAACTACTCGTTCCACCAGGACTGGCAGAGTTCAGTCCCTGACCTGCAACAGCCAGCAGTAAGAGCTGCCTAGAGTGTTCCCAGGCACGTGGTGGGGAGTGAGCAGCAGGGCATAGCCAGGATCCCAGCCCTCCATCCCTTCCCCACCAGGCCAGTGTCGGCCTCTGAACATGCCCTGAGTCCCCACGTCTCCAGCCCTTACCAGGGCTCTTTGCTGTGCCAGAAACGCCCTGTCACCCTTCAGTCTGTACTTGGTGGACCCCTCCTCATTCTTCAAGGTCCTCTTAGGCAGAGGTAGATTCCCCTGTCCTCTAGGCTACTTGATGCCACACTCACAGTGCTACTTTCACACTCAGCACACCGCTCTGAGATGGTATCTGATGGGTTTGTTATATCACCCACTTCTATCAGAGCACACATCCCTTCTCTGTCCCCATACCTGGCCCAAGATCACTGGCTGGTGAGGGACAGTGGCAGCAAGTATCTGCATGTGCATACTCATGAGCATTCTTATAGGTAGTGCCCAAGTGAAAGTGTCCTTGGAACAAGGGATCATGGAGAAAAGTGACCTAACACGTGAATGATACCATCTTTCCCAAGGAAGGGCAAGACAATGGTCCCATCCTGGGCTGCGCGAGCCTGTTGAGACCTGACATCCTTAGTTGGAAGCCCTGGAGCTGCTGTTTCTCCAGGCCTGAGCAATCAGGTGGGGGCAGCCGGTTTCCCTGACTGGAGCTCCAGCAACTCACAGCGGTATTCTACCCTAAGAACCCACCAGGACTGACTCTCACTGGGCAGCACACCCTAGTTTTCCCCAGAAGCCCCAGCTATTCAAGTCCCTGGGACCCCTTATCCCTAAGCACCCATGACCCAACCTCCCCCACTCCCCAGATGTTTGCATTGTGCCCTCTGTAACACCTAAGTCCATCATCCTTTCTCTTTGCAGAAAGCGCCTGACAAAACCCCAGCCCTGGTCAGACCTAAATCATCCACCTACCGCCTGCCTCCGACCAAGCAGCTGCTGCTTCCGGAACAAAACACTTTGCATCGACTGGCCTCACTCTAACTTCATGACCACAAATCTCCAAGCTTTCCTAGTATGCTCACTTCCCCACTGGTTCAGATCGGCATCCTTCCTCTCCCCTCCAACCTCTACCACCCCCACCCCATCCCCCGCTGTGACTCTGCGTGGTACTTAAGAGAAAAACAGAAGTCATCAGGCATCCTCTTACCCCGACCTGCCCCCCACTCTGCATCTCAGCTCAAACTCTGCTTTCACTGGAAAGGCAAGTCCTCAGCTTGGGCCCGGACTCCACTCCTTCACTTATCCCCCGTCTCACAGTCCCTGCGCTTACAAAGCCCTCTCTGCTTCCATTCCACCACCCCCACAAGCCACTTGCTCAGTGTTTGCCCCCAGGCACCATCTCTGACCCTCACAGTCTCTCTCCTTAACCCTCAGCAGGGCGTCTGCATCCCACCCTCCACTGAGTCAGCTCTCGGTGGGTCATGCGTGACTCGACATCACTAGGTGCCAGGCTTATTTTTTTGAGTTGAAGTCTCACTCTGTCGCCCAGACTGGAGTGCAGTGGCTTCTCCTGGCCACCGCAGCCTTGCCTGCTGGGTGCCGGCGATCCTTCCACCTCAGCCTTCCCAGTAGCTGGAACTACAGGCGCGCGCTACCACGCACGGCTCATTTTTGATTTGTTGTAGAGATGAGGCCTCCCCAAGTTGCCCAGGCGGGTCTCAAACCCACGGGCTCAGGCAATCCACTCGCCTCAGCCTCCCAAAGGCACGGGTACTCTTTCTGTTTCTCAGGAACTGACACCATGTACCTTTCCTTGGACACTTTTTCTGAAAGGCCACTCCTCCTCGGTCTTCTTTTCATCCCCCAAACTCTAAATCAGAGATTCTCACTGAGAGTGATTCCTCCTCCCTCCCCCCTCAAGAGACATTTGGGCATGTCTAGAGACAGCTTTGACTGTCACAGCAGTGGGAGGTGGGGAGTTGCTACTGGCATCTAGTGGGTAGAAGCCAAAGACGCTGCTAAGCTTACTGCAGTGTACATGGCAGTCCCCCCCCGTAACAAAAAATTATCAGGCACAAAATGTGAATGATGCTGAGACTGCTTTCCATCCAGACACCGATGACCCTCTACCACCTATCTCCCGCCCTGCTTTCGTCCCTGAACCCCAGATTCCTTGGACCCTCACACTCCCTGACCAACTTTTTTTTTTTTAATTTGGGTTCTCTGTCGCCCAGGCTGGAGTGCAGTGGCACAATTATGGCTCAGTGCAGCCTCAACCTCCCAGGTTTAGGCAGTCCTTCTGCCTCAGCTTCTTGAGTAGCTGGGACCACAGGCATGCACCACCACGCATGGCTAATTTTTTTTTTTTTTTTTGTAGATATGGTATCTTGCTATGTTACCATATATATGGTGTCTTGAACCCTTGGGCTCAAGTGTCCTCCCATCTCAGCCTGCCAATGTGCTGGGATGCCCTTTTGATGTCTCATATCCACCATGGAATTGACATGTTCATTTCCCTCCCCCACCCTGCCTCACCCCACAGTTCTCCATGCTGTCAGCGCTGCTGCTCCCCACTCGGAGCTGTGCCCTCACCCCTGCATGCAATCGCAAGTGGGCTACCTCGACCCCAGACACTCCAAAAGCACCCTCCTGTCTGTCTCCACAGCCCCTATCACTCTTGCTTGCATGACTGCCGTGGTTTCTCAGTTGTTCTGTTTTCATTCCGTTTTCCAGAATGCATCCAGAACAACTTCTTAAACGTCAAGCCACACTTGTCACTCTCTTAGACCCCTCCAGCAGCTGCTCCATGTAACTCTTGAAACAAAACCCTCCCCATCTCCGCCTGACCTGGCCCTGCCTGCCCCAGGGCCTGTGCACTGGTGGCTCTTTCCCTGGATTTGCACAGGCAGCCTCCTTCTATTATTCAGATTTCAGCTAAAATGCCACCTCCTCAGAGGGGCCCTTCTCACCAACACCCGAAAGGAGTGTCCCCCCTCCCCCAACACTCGTCTGTACCAGATGCTTTTTGACTTGGGGGTTTCTTGTCCATCCCTCTCCGCAACCCTGAATACACTTCCTGAGAGTGGAAAGTCTGCCTTGTGCACCATGTCACCCCCAGTGCCTGTAACAGAGCCTGCCTGGCACCTAGCAGGCATTCAGTAAGTGTCTGCTGAATAAGTGAATAAATGAAGATCACAAAGCTATGTGGTTGAGGACTGGGGAGGCGAACAGGCCACAGATCCCTGGGAGAGGAGTGGCTAGCCACGTGGGCTCTGGCTGACACCCCAGGACCCTGTACGTCTCACCACCCACACTAGAACTCCAAGTGCTAACCCACCAGGCACTATACAAGGTGGGGCTTGTGGAACAAGCCTCGGACCAGGCTCTGCCTTGACAGGTGGCTTTCTGGGGAAGGACACAAGGACAGCCTTGTCCCTAACCACCCTCGGGGGGGGGGGGGAACCTGTCTTGAGTCACCGGGCTCAGCCATCCCCATCTTTGAGAGAACCCGGATTCAGAGAATAACAGCCAAATCCCAATGGAAGCTTGTGACAGCAGCCACCAAGAGCCAGGGGAATCTCACAGGGCACAAAGCATATCACCTCCTTTGACCCCATGTGGCCAAGAAACCCTAGTCCAGTGCCAAGGCCTAGGTCGGCCACGCAGAGAAGCCAGTAGGTCACAAGGCAATCATGTTTATCCCTCTGCTAAATGCACAACCTCTATCTTAGAGTCTCCTTGGGGGGCTGTCATTCTTCTAGAAACCTGGCCAGAGTCCTTACACACCCACCCTAAACTCACACAGGTCCCACCTCTTCCCTGTGTAGAAACAAGAAGAGAGCCAGTGTTTCCTCCATGACCATTCCCTCCTGCTAATGCCCAAGACTCGGCCCTTGTTTGGTCTCAAAGCTCTTAACTGGAGGATGTAACCCACAACAGACTGAAAGCAGAGGCTTCATGTCCTCACATCCCCTGATGTGGCCCCAGCACGGGACCACTCCAAAAGGCTGGCAAAAGCCAAACTCTCCTCAGAACTTAAGAATGCCAGGCCTCAGCCCTGCCATGAGCTCCCTAGCCCTGCCACCTGGAACATTTGCTCCAAAACCCCTTTGCTCCGGAAGGTGGGCATAGCCAGCTGAAGAAACCCCCACAGGGCAGATGGGAGAGTTAAAGGCACAGGCATGCATGAGGTGGTCAGTACACGGGCACGGAACAAAAACCCAACTTTATTTCTGCCTCTCCCACAAACATCTGGGGCCTCTGCCCCCTCCCACCCCAAGCAGAGCTTTCTTGACATTCTGACAGGCCCCAAGAACAGTGCTCCTCAGAGACTGAGGGACTTCTGGCCCAAGCCCACTCATGCACCCCGGAGACTGTCTGTGTTTCTAGAACGAACCTCATGAGGAAGGCTGGGAGCTAGGGAAGAGGAGGGGTGGGCTTGGGCCAAGGGAGGACAAGCTGGCGGCCCCAGCCCCTTTCTACTTCCAGGATCTCCTCTGGCTGAGCCCCTGGGGGTACAAGGCTCCTGGAAACGCGATCTGAAATGGAGACGTGCTTCAAGTCCTCTGTTCAAGAGCCTCTCATGCTTGCTGAGGTTTTCATTGTGAAGTCCTGGTAAGGTCCCACTTTCTCTCTCTTCCTGCAGTGGTACCCTCGGCCCAGCACCTTCCTGCTCTGCTGGGGAGCAAGTTGGCTCTCGAGGCCTCCTGGAGAGCAGGGCTGGAGGCTACAGCTGCCAGGCAGCATCCCCAGGACCCAGACATCGTGATAGGAGGCTGCTCTCAGCCACAGAAGCGCCCTGACCCCGAGGAAGAGGCGGGGAGAATACCATTAGTCCATGCTGGGCTGGGCCACAGGAGGGCTTGCAGGGGCCTGCAGGGCTGAAACCTGGCTCTTCCCCATCCTTCCCAGGACCCTGTCTCTGGAGAAGGTCACCTCCCATTCCCAACATCCTCCAGGGCTGGGGCAAAATTTAAGAGCAGGCAGAGCTAAACCTGTCTTCCCCTCTAACTGACCCTAGGGTCCCTTGGGGGAACGTGATGGGGAAAGGACAGAGGAAGAAGCTTGGCCCCCTGAGAGGGGGTGGCCAGGCTGGGGTGAAAGGCAGGGGTGCTGCTCAGAGGGGCCAAGGGTTAGACAACTCAGCTCCTCTGGGCAGAAGATGTTCTCCCCACTTGGGGACAGAAACCACAAGCTTAATCTCCGGACATCCCTCTAAAGTGACTTCTGGGTACACAGCCTCCTGGCAGAGCTGGGCTCCCCAAGGCAGCCTGGACAAGTGCTGGCTGGTCTGCTTCTGGAGATGGGGCTGGGGGTTCAGTGGGTACTTGGGCCAGCCAGGACTGTTCCAGGGCAATATCAGGTGAGCCTGCTCCAGTCCTTGACCTTGGCGAGGAAGCTAGGGTCTGAGGCAGCCTTGCTGTGGCCTCCACACTGAGCTTCTTCAGGGCAGGGGACTCCCAGCCACGTGGGCCCTCCCCAGGCCCCGCAGGAACATGCTGGCCTCCAGCACCAGAGTCACTGGGGTCGGGGCTCCCAGATTCCGCTGAAAGTACCTCCAGAAGCCGCTGCAGGGATGATCTGGAGGCAGGAGCAGGGCTCCTGCCAGTGGTGTGGGCTTGGGACCCTGGAGCAAGAAAGATAGGAGGTCAAGACTCAGAATGAGAAGGAAAATGGGTGGACCAGCTGCACAGAGCCAGGACTAGCTTCAGCTCTATTCAGGGGGACATAGAGCCCAGTTCACAGGGATGACAACCCACCGTGCTATTGCTAAGCCACTGCCAATGCCTGCAAGACACATTCCCACACTTCTTCCCAAGACTAGGAAGACAGAGCCCTCCCATTTCCTCTTGGTTGGCCCCTGAGGTCACACCAGAAGATCAGGCCACACAGGCTTCCATACCACCTACTCACACCCCAGGCTGCTATGACAGTTAACCCACCTGACCCAGCGCCAAAGCCCCTGCCTTCCAGACCCCTTCTCGGGCCACTCTGTATACAGCAATACCCCACCTCTCGCCCTGCATCTGAGACCTCGTCCAGAGCTGTTCCTGCACTTGCAGCCACATCCAATCCCAGGCCATCAGGAGGACACGGCCCAGCACTCTGCGGCTCTTGCACTGCACCAGGAGGTAGGCTGGGCCCTCCCTGCTCTTCACCACCATGCCTGACCATGACTGCCCCCCTCTACTTTGTAAGAATCCTTCTTCATTTAGGCCCAAGTGTCCTGGCTGGTCTGCCTAGCCCTAGGTGCTGCCTCTCATCCTGGTCACTCCTGCCCACATAGCCAAGGCCTCACAGCGAGCCACTCTTCTCTCGGTCAACACTGACGAAATCCACACTGACACACTTCACACTGATTCCATTGAACTCACAGCCCACACCCTCCCACTGGACTTGGTCAGCACCAGGGACAACACTGCTGAAATCTGTTTCCAGCTGCCAGCCTTCGGCAGCCACCTCCTCAGCTCCAGCTCAGGCACTGAGGCAGCATGGCTTTGCAGGCCCACCAAGCCCATGCATGAACCTCAACATCTTCCTGCTCCACAGCCTCCTCTCTTCAGATGGCTCTCCTCACTGGCTGTTACTCCCTTAGGGGCAGCCTCAGCCACCTTCCCTTCTGTCACACCTGCCCGCAAAACCCCCGCCAGGGAAGGCCAGGCAGGCCCCACCTGCAGTCCTGCAAGGACTCTACCAGGTTTTGTCTCCTGCTCTCCAGTCAGCCAGTTCACATTTGTTTCCTTTATTTCCATCCCTTTCTCCCCACCTCTCTGATGGCCTTACCTCACTCTGAGGCCCCCTTCTCTACACATCAATATCCTCCTTCTCACTTGGGTCAACTTCTGTCTTCTTCCTCCTCATGATGTCCAAAGATGCTTCTCAGCTTCACCAAGAGCAGTCCCTCTCCAAACATTCTAGGCATTCCTTCTTCCTCCCCCTGTATCCACCCCTTTCTCCCCCAGCAGGTTATTATTTCAGCATCCAAACATATCCCTATGTTCACTGTCTTGATAGAACCTTCCCTTGACCACAGCCATACTTCCCAATCCTTTATTCTTTGTGATAGTCAAATCTCCAGAAAAATTACCCATGAAGCTCTAGCCACATCATCTCCTATTCTTTAGCTTTTTAGAAGAGGTAGATAATATTTAATACAGAAAAAAAATATTTAGGGGAAAGAATAGTCTTTCCCCTAAATGGTGCTGGAACAACTAGATAGCTACGTGCAAAAGAATGAAATTGGACCCCTTCCTTACACCCAACACAAAAGTTTATTCCAGATGCAGCACACACCCAAATGTAACACCTAAAACTATAAGACTCTTAGATGAAAACACAGGGGTAAATCTTTGTGACCTCAGGTTAGGCGAAGCCTTTTTAGACATGACACCAAGAAGCAGTGATGACAGAAATAGGTAAGTTGGACTTTCAAATTAAAAGTGTTGGTATTCAAAGGACACTGAAAACAATCAACCCATAGAATGTGATAAAGTATTTCCAAGTGATATACCTGATGGGGGCATGTGTCTAGAATATGTAAAGAACTCTTTCAATGCAGCAAGAGACAAGCCAACTGAAAAACAGGCAAAGGGTTTGAACAGACATTTCTCCAAAAAAGCCATGCAGGTGACCAACAAGCACATGAAACGTGCTCAACATCATTAGTCACCCGGGAAATGCAAACCAAAACTACAATGAGATATTACTTCACACTCACTAGGATGGTTATAGTCAACACAGATAAGAACAAGGCAGGAAGAAACTGGAACCCTCACATACCGCTGGTGGGAATAAAAAATGGTGCAGCCTCGCTTTGGAAAATATTTTAGCAGTTAAATATGGAGTTACCATAGACCCTAGAAATTTCACTCCTAGCTATGTACCCTAAAGAAATAAAGCCATGTTGCCACAAAATCTTGTACACAGATGTTCACAGTAGCACTATTCATAGTACACCAAGAAGTAGAAACCACCCAAATGCATTTCAACTGATGAATTAAATGTGATGTATCTATCAATAGATTATTCAGCAATCAAAAGGCATGAAGTATTGCTACATGCTACAACATGGATGAACCTTAAAAGCATTAAGAAGCTGGATACAAAAAGCCATATGATACCATTCATGTGAAATATCCAGAATAGGCAAATCCATAGAGACAGAACATAGATTGGTGATTACCTGGGGCTGGGGGTGAAGGTGGCGGTGGGTGGCTCAGGGTGGGTACTCACATGCAAGATGACCAAGGAACAGAATCTGGGTCATGGGGTACACGCATACTTCAATTTCACAAGATATCAAATTGTTTTCTAAAGTGGTTGCAGCAATTTATACCATCAACAGGGTGTGAATGCTACCATGCATGGCTCCATATCCTTACCAGACTCTTAAATCTCTGCCAATTTAGTGAATATAAAATGGTACTATGGTCTTCAATTGCATTTTCTCAATTACTAATGAAGTTAAGGATTTTCCATTCAGTTGCTTCTGAGGAGTCTTAAGCGTCATGTTCATTCGTCTATTTGGTGGCTTGTCCTTTTCTTATTAATGTGTAGTTCTTTATATGTTCTGTATATGACCAGTTATGTGTTACAATCTTCCAGTTTAAACTTGTGTTTCGCTTTATTTGTAGTATCATTGACAAACAGTAGTTATGATGGTTAATATAGTTGAATTATGAATCTTTCTAGTTTTATGGTCAGTGTTCTGTCTTATTTAAGAAATCCTTCCCTATCCCAAGGTCATGATGACATCTTACTATATTTTCTTCTACAAGTTTTAAAATTTCTCCATTTACATATGTGTCTTTTATGCATCCAGAATTTATTTGTACATGATACAAGTTAGGAATTCATTTTTTAAAGTGAATATCTAGTTGGCTAGAATCATGTGATGACTAATCTATCCTTTCCCTAATGATCATCAATGCCCCCATATCAAGCCTCTACTTGTACTGAGTGGGATCCATTTCTGAACTTTCCATTCTGTTCCAATGAGCAATCATCTATCCTCGCTCCAATGCTATACATTAGTATAAAAACATTTTCTATACATATGCATACATATATATACATTTCTATAAAGACATTTTATAAACTATATGACTAAATATCTGCTAGGGACAAGTCCTAGCAGATATTTATTTTTCTTCAGGAATATCTTGGTTATTATTAACATTTCATGGTTTTATATAAATTTTAGAATCACCCTGTCAAAATTAAAATGTGAGATTTTCCATGGAAATGTATTCAAGCCATAGACCAGTTTAGGAAGAATTATTTTTACAACATTGTCTTCCTATCAATGACTGATTCATATCTCTATGTATTTCAGTATTCTTTAATGATTTTAATAAATGTCCATTTTTTTCCCATTAGAGTTTTATATAGCTTCTGTCGGATTTATTCCCCGGGACCTTATTTTTTTATTATTGCTATAATAATGCTATGTTTACTAAGAGATTATGTTTTCTAACTGTGGGTATACAGAAATACAATTGATTTTTATATATTAATTGTATCTACATTTTGTAGTTATCAGTTCTAATAATTTTTGTTTATATGTTGTTGCTTTCAATGTAAATAATCACCATCTATGAATAGTGAGTTTTTTCCTTTCTTCCTAATCCTCAGGCTTTAGTTACCTTGTTATACCCCAGTGGCTAAGACCTCCACTGTGCTGAGTAGACAGACAATAGGAAAGCTAGTCTAGGACCTAATTTTAATGTCATGTCATTAAAAATGATTTTGGACCAGGCATGGTGGCTCACGTCTATAATCCCAATACTTTGGGAGGCCAAGGCAGGAAGATTGCTTGAGCCCAGGAGTTTGAGGTCAGCCTGGGCAATATAGCAGGACTCTGTCTCTACAAAAAATTTTAAAAGTTAGCTGGACATAGAGGCACATGCCTGTAGTCCCAGCTACTCAAGAGGCTGAGGTGGAAGGATCACCTGAGCCCAGGAGGCTGTGGTGAGCCATGATTGTGCCCTGCACTCCGGCCCGGGCGACAGTAAGATTCTGACTCAAAAAAAAAAAAAAAAAGAATTTTCTAGGTTTTTGGCATATATACATTATTTAGGTTAAGAAAGTGATCTATTCCTGTTTGTTAAGTGTTTTTAGCTCTAATTTTTATGATCTCACCCTGCTCACCTCTGCAACCTCATCTCCTACCACGTCACCTCCCTGTTACCTTTTCCAGGTGACAGGAGCCTTCTCCAGGTTCCTCAAGTCACCCTCCCCCATCACTCACCTCTCCCACGGAGGCCAGGGCCACTTGAGCTGCAGCCGTAGAGCCTGAGGACCCGTGTGATGTCTGAGGCACTCAGGTTCCATCGCTGGCCAAAGTGGGCGCTGGGGGCCCAGAGCGGTGTGATGGTGGGAAGCCCTCGCCGGCTGAAGGCTAGCCTGGAACCCAGCAGGAGGCACCTGAGTCCAGCCCACATTAGGGACCAGGAAGGCAGCAGAGAGGGCATGGGGAGGAGGGCATAGGGAAGAAAGGTCCTCACCTCCCATAGTGCATCACAGAGGAGTAGTCGTAGGGCGTCAGCATGTTGCTACTCTGAGATTTGATGAAGTTGATTTCAAAGCCTAAAAAGCAAACAAACAACACAATTCAGTGAAGATATAAAGAGGGCAGGCCAGCAAAAAAAGGTCAGTGAAGTGTTGGTGGGGTGGGGAGAGCCTCCGGGGAATGTATAACCCACCTACATTGAAGGGTTTGAGACCACAGCCAAGTGTTCCACTTCCTGTACTAACCCGGCTCTCCCCTCATCCTGGAAAGAGTTCAAATCTTGGCCAGGTAACGTGGAAGCACAGGGACCTCGTGGCTGGCCAACGTCACCTCTCAACAATTCTCTCTGCCTGTCCTCCCTCCCATCTTTCTTGCCTGACATGGGACTTATCTCTGCATAACCTACAGCTTCCATGAAGTCACCTGCTGCTCAGAGCATCTTGGATACCCTTCCCGCCCCAGCAATGTGTCTAGTCTTCAGTCCTGCTTTCGAGACCTGTCCTCCCACCACCTGCAGTCCTGATGCTGCCCTAGTCTCGGCAATCGGCCCACCATGGTCTTCCTGTCTCAGGCCACAACACTCCCCTAGATTTGGAGCCCATCTCCCCTGTACTCAGGTCTTCCAGGCCTGGGAGTGAGTGAGATCTTGAAAGAAAAGCTGCACCCTCCGTCTTTGCTCCCAGTTCCCCCAAACCCAGCCGGCCATTCCATGCCCACCCCACCACCCAGGCCACCAGGTGTCCTCACCATACAGCAGGTCAGCATTCCAACACCTTTGTATCCCACCACCTGCCTGAAATATTCACCCCTAGAGAGCCCTTATTCTTTCTTTTAAAAACTCTTTAATTGGCCTGACTCAGCCTGTACCCCTGAGGCGAGTGGATTGCCTGAGCCTAAGGGTTCAAGACCAGCCCAGGCAACTTGGTGAGGCCACGTCTCTACAATAAATCAAAAACTAGCCAGGTGTGGTAGTGTGCACCTGTAATTCCGGCTGCTTGGAAGGCTGAGATGGAAGGATCAGCAGAGCCCAGCAGGTCAAGGCTGCATTGACTGTGAGCGTACCAATGCACCTCAGCCTGGATGAGGGAGTGAGACTCCAACTTAAAAAAAATACTAATGAAAATAAAAACCCTTTAATTATTAAGCATGATTTTGAATAGGTAATATATTAGTCTGGTTAAGAAGTCAAATATTGGCTGGGCTTGGTGGCTCAGCCTGTAATCCTAGCACTTTGGGAGGCTGAGGCGAGTGGACTGCCTGAGCCCACAGGTTTGAGACCCACCTGGGCAAGTTTGAGACCTCGTCTCTACAATAAATAAAAAAAAGAACTAGCCGGGCATGGTAGCACATGCCTGTAGTTCTGGCTACTTGGAAGGCTGAGGCAGAAGGATTGCCGGAGCCCAGCAGTTCAAGACTGCGGTGGCTGGGAGCGGCCCCTGCATTCCAGTCTGGGCGACAGAGTGAGACTCCAACTCAAAAAAAAAAAAAAAGAAGTCAAATATTAAGAGCTATATCGAAGTCTCCTACTTTGGCACCCTTCCTGAGTTCCCACCTCCCCACCCTCACAAGTTAATTACTGTTATTAATGTGGAAATCCTAGCAGAGTTTGTTCTGTACATATTAACTAAATATTCATTCTTCTCCATTCCAAAGAGAAATCATATTTTTTTCCCACTAGGGTAGCTGGTGTTTTAACTTGTTTTATTATTAGGAAAACAGCTCTTGAATTGATTAGTGCTGTTTTCTAACTCATTAATTTCTGCTTTTATCTTTATTAATTCCCTCCTGCTTTCATTTTCTTAACTTGGGTTGGCATGCTTAACTTATTCTATTTTTACTGGTAGAAGTATTTAAGTCTGAACATTTTTCCCTGAGCACTGCTTTAGTTTTTTTTTTTTTTTTTTTGAGAGACAGAATCTCATTCTATCACCTAAGCTGGAGTGCAGAGTTTTAATCATAGCTCACTACAACCCTGAATTCCTGGACCCAAGTGACCCTCCTGACTCAGCCTCCCAAGTAGCTGGGATTACAGGCACACACTGCTATGCCTGGCCTTTTTTTTTTTTTAAAGAGAGGAGAGGTCTTACTTTGCTGCCCAGGCTGGTCTTGAAATCCTGGACTCAAGTGATCCTCCTACCTCCCAAAGTGCTAAGATTACAGGCATGAGCCACCATGCCCAGCCCATTGACTTTTTTTTTTTTTTTTTTAAGACTTGTTATATTTCTTTCACTCTAGAGCTGGAAGAAAGGTTTATTATTTTTAATTTTAATTTCCAAGTGAGAGTGGGTTGTGGTTGATTGATGTGTTATTAGTTTCTACTTTAACCATGATCATAATGTTTAATCTACTTTTTCAGATTTGGAGTTTTTCATGGAGATATTAGGCTAGATTTTCACAAGCATTCATGAGCACTTGGAAGGATCACATCACAGTCTCTATTTTCAAGGTACAAAGTCACCAGCAACCCCCACATACTCACTTCTCCAACCTAGTCTTTGATTCAGTCTCCATCACCTTACCTTTGTAAGGTACAACCCATGTGTCCCAAAGCACCCCTTTCTCTGGGGCATGCCCTGGATCCTGGCCATCTCCTCTGGTAACTGAATAGCAACAGCTGAGGCCTCACGCAGGAAGCCTGCAACTCCTCCCATATCCCTAACCAGACTAGACTCCTGCTTAGACCTCCTGTGCCCCTCCCTTAAGAGGCTGTTACCTGTACTCTTCTTACCTCCTAAATCAGCCCACCAGCCCTCACCAGGATCACATTCCTAGCACCACGCTCAGCTACAGCTACTACTCAGCACAGAGCCATAGCCTACTTCCCACCACCTCCCCCCTGTGTACGTGCCCATCAGCAGCCAGCAGCACACACACCAAGTCCCCAGCACCACCCTTGCCATCCCCCATCTGGCACATGGACATGCAACCTGCCACCTTCAGGGCATCTGCTTTGGCTCACCTCCCCAGCTAGCATGCATCTCCTGTTCATGTGCCACACGGTGACGGCACCTGGCACCTGAGAGACTGTGGGTTGAGTACTTAACAAGTGGGTATCATAAGACACTGCTAACCCCATCCTCAGGTGGATGACAGCGCCAAGAAGGGGAAGTGAGACACAAAGCAAATGGTGACACCCTAGCTTGCGCACAACTATAGGTAGACAAATGAAGGCTTGGTGCCCAGAGGAGCAGCCACTGGACCACCCTTCAGAGAAGCAGGAACCCCCACCTTCCCCATGGGAAACAGGCAGGTGGTAGGGAGGATGAATGACCTCATTATGGGAGTCACATGACTCCTCAGACCCTGGCTTGAGCCTACCATCCTCTCCCCCAAGCACCAGCCTCGCCCATGCATGACCTGGCTTACCGGGGAGGATCTCATTCCAGTTAACTCGTATATAGCGGTCCCGGTCAGCGCGTGCATGCTCATGCCAGAAGCCCAGCACGTGCATGAGCTCGTGCAAGACGATGCCCCGGCCCCTCCGGAGACAGGCAGGTGCCAGGGACACCACCTGCATTCCTCCACTGCGTCCCACACCAGAGAAGCACCTGCAGGCCACAAGAGTGAGCTGGGTGGACACGAGCCCAGAGGGTGACTAAGCACACTGGGCCCTTTCCCTCCTCCCAGGTCATGGGATGGACAAACGCCTGACAGGCCTTCCCCCTCCAGGGCTCTAGTCCCAGGTTTGCCATTCTCCCACAAGTTCCTTTACTGCATGCCTTCTGTGAAATGGGCATAATGGACCTCTGTTGCCAGCCTGGGCTGCAGGGAGGAGGCAGGGACCAATACTGACATGGATGACAAAAACTGCTGGTTGAGTGAGCGTCACCACATTGAAAGCCTCAAAGAGTTTGCATACATTGTTTCATGCTGTGTTTTTTGTATAGTGGTTATCATTGTTTCATGCCCCTGATGAGCTGGGAGCTAGGTATGGCCACTACCCTCCCCTCAGAGAGGAGGCAGAAGAGGCTCGGAAGTTAGGGGACTTGCCTGAACTCACACAATTTATGCAGTGTCTGTCCCACAAAACCTACACTCCCTCTCCACGCCACGCAGTCTTCTGGGAGACGAGGGCTTTACAAGTGAGGGTCTGGCACCCAAGCCCCACCCTTCCCTACCTTCCACCCTATAAGTCCAGCTCACATTGGGCAAACCACTTAGGGTGGGCTGGGGACTTTAAACGCTGAAGGACAGGCCCAGAAATAGGTTTTAGACAATGGCCAAGTTCATTCTGGGCTGAACACGGAAGCAAGCGGAGACACCTCCAGCTCCCCACCCCAGGAGAACTTACCCATACATGGGGATGATGGAAATAAAGTCTCTCTGGCCCTCGTAGGCGACAAACCTGACGCATGTGTAACGTTCAAACTCAGCAAATGCCTCCAAGATGGCCTCGCGGCTGGGTTCATCTGGCAAAGATACCCCGTGGTTGAAACCCCAGCAAAGTCCCCAGAGCCCTCAAGAGCTTTGAACTCTAGCTGGGGGCTGGGAACTGGGCTTTAAATGTACTCTCCCAAAACAGTGTCAAGAACAGACAGCACAGTAATGGTAGGGAAGAAGGCTGGGCCCCAGACCTGGCTGCATGGCCTTGGATAGGTCACCATCCTCTGGACCATGTGGTCTCAAGAGGGACTAGATCTCCCTTAGACATAGTTTCTGGTTAGCTCCTCCAGGATTTTAACCTTCTCAACTCAGAAGGCCTTCAGGCATAAAAGGGCTTTCATGGAAGGGCACTTCGGGGGTTGGGGGATATAGTTGATACAAGAAGAAGAAGGAGATGAGGACCCCAGAGAGAAGCCCATGCTGCATTAGGAAGAAGGGTTGAGGCAGTGAGGGAGGTCCCATGCCACGCCCACTTACCGTATTTGCTGGAGAGTAGGAAGGGAACCTCCACATAACCGCCACTGCTCTTGGGCCACCTGTTGCTGGTGGCTGACAATAATCGAAAGGGACTCTGAGGAGAGACAGCAGCTCAGGGATTCATGGGGACATGGGCCACCCAAGCTTTGTGCCTAAGGGTACCACATCCCAGGCCACCAGAACTCTAAAGATATGGGAGGTAGAATGTGGGAGTGGGGAATGGGGAACCATCAGAGACGGGATAGAAGTGTGAGATGACAAGGGGCCAGCTATGAGAGTCATGATAAACAAGACACAGTCCTTTGGTCTGTGATGACACAGAACTTGCAACCTCTTCTCTCAAACAGATAAAACAAGATTGGTTCTGGGAAGGTTGGCTAGGAGGCCCAGCACCTCAGGGTACCCTGGATCAGAAGGACTCAGGGCTCCAGCCAGCAACCCCACTCCATCCCTTTGGCAGGGGCCCTTCCCAGGGCACAATGACTGCCAAGCTTCCCTGAACCTGAGAAGACCACAGGACAGGGCCTATCAGAGAGATTCCGAGGCAACAGTCTGGCCTCCACAGCTCCTTCTTCCACTCTCCAGCGAACGAGAACCCTTGGGAGTGCAGGTCCCACAGCATCCAAGCGTGGTCTGCACCCTCAGCCACCAAAGATGTTGTTTGATTCTGCTCCAAGGTGGTCTCGCACCCGTCTCTCCCGGGCACTCACTGGATAACCTGGGACAGACCTGCCCCGCCCTTGGCACTCCTGCATGGCCTGGGGCCAGCCTTGAGCTCAGCAGCTCAGCCATGCATGGTGCCATCAGCAGGCAGCCTCCAAAGAAGTAGGATGGTCTTGCTTCCCCCTGCATCACTCGCCTATTCAGGAGCCTCCTGCGGTCCCCAGTCGCCTAAAATATGGCACTGCTCTGCTGGGCCATGTTCCCTCCTATGCCAAGAAGGCGCCCCAGTTCCCAGCAGCCCTCTCCCTTCTGACCTGGCCCTCGACCCAGCCGGGATGGTGGGTCTCTCCACATCAGCCCTTGTTCTGGCTCCCCTGAGACATTGCCGCTACCAGGCTCTTCAATGCCCCACACCCTACACCTCCACCAGCCACTCTTTGCCAACCCGTGGCCATCTCTTCCTCCATCCTAATACTCCCCAAGTACAGAGTACCTTCCTTGGGCAGAGTACCAAGCTGGGTTGAGTATCCAAACCTCGCCCTTCAGGAAGCCCCCTGGGCTGACTGGGCCAGTACTTTGCATATCACTCTCCCTTAGCTCTTAGGCTGACTTATCCTAACATATCAGTTGCTCTGACCTTGACCACAATGAGTGTCTACAAGGGCCTCACACGGCAAACCCTATGGCACCCAGGGGTAGGCTCAAAGGCCTCTGTCACCAGCTGTGAGCTCCAAGTCAGCTCACAGAGAAAGAGGGGAGCAGCTCACATGGCAGCTAGCATGTCAATGGATGCCTGCCCCACCTCCAGGACAAGGCTCCCTGTTTCCCAGTGCTTTGGCCCGTGCCAGCTCTGACATCTGAGCTCCATCTTCATCTCTACCCACTTTGGCTCAGGCTATCTACACAACCTCATTCTTCAGCCAAGGTCCCCAGTCAGCGAGACACCTGCATGTTAGTGTGTGTGCACTCACCGGTCGGATGATATCCCCCTCGACGAGGAAGCTGCTCTCTGGGGTTTCCTCCGGGATGAGCCCTAGGAAGGGAGAGAGAGAGGTGTGTTGGCCCATGTCTCCCAGGACACAGGCTTGAGGGACAAGCCAGGCAAGCCCCAGGGTCTGTCCCTCCCTGACTTTGGAACTAGGACTTCCCTGAGCACGGAGTCCATGTGGTCTCGGTCAAGTCACACAGCCTGAGTGTACAACGCTCCTCAGCCTGACTGCAGTCTTCCTCTGCTCAAACACAGTCCATGGCTCCCCCAACACATGCAATCCAGCCCCAAGTCCAGGTCCTCTGCTGTCAGAAAGCAGCAGCCTCTTTCTCCGGCCATCTCCTCCACTCCAGCCTAAAGCACACTCCTCAGAACAGGCCCAGCTCTCCTGTCCCACTTACCTGCATCTAATCTTTATCCATCTGTAATATTCAGAACCCTTGCAGTGGCAAGTGACAGAAACTCCCATTTGTACCACCATAGGAGGCAGGCAAGTACTGGCTCTTCCAAGCCCCTCTCTCTCCCTCTCAGCTGTCTCTGCTTCTCATCTCTCCCTAAGCCAGAGCATCATCTGCAAGTGACTCATGGAGGGGTGATCTCAGGAGAGGGGAAGCAAAGGAAGGAGAGAGTCAGGGAAGTGTGCAGACTTAGCCTCAGCCTGATGCCACAGGAGCTCTGGACCACACACTGCACCTCAGACGCATCTTGCCTTGAGGCAGGGCCAGATTCTATCCCCTATGAGTCACTGCGGACCACCTGGTCAGGGGAGGGAGTCGCCTCCCAGGCATCTCTGGCCAAGGCAGCCCTCTCTGACCATGGGCCATTCTCGGGAGATGGGTACAGCTGTGAGGCATTGACAGCCACATTCGCAGCAGCTGGGGACAGGCAGGTGCTTCCTGGGAAAAAGCACCAGGCAGGGAATAGACGGATATTACTACAGTAGCCTCAGGGCAGTTGATAGTGAGAACTAAAATAAAATCCTAAGCCCCTCAACCACTGAGCAGACCCCCTTGTGACCAGGGGATCCCAAGAAAAACTTACAAACTGAGTTCCTGACCATGATTGGATACAGGGTCGGACACTCATTATACCCCCTCCCTTTTGCAGTGTAGACACAACTGACAGCACTAATGATAATAGAGACCATATGACTGACAGAACAGACTCTTTGTGGTAATAAGACACCAATTATAAGCAGGCCAAGGTTAAGTCACACACCCCTACACTTAAAGAGTAAACTATGTGCTAACTGCCGCAGCCTTTCATTTCTTCAAGCAGTTAAACAAGAGCTTGCCTTGAAATAAACGATATTTAAACAATTGCAGCTCATCCACCACCAGAGGTCGACCCTTTCACAAGCCATAACAGCTTCAATTGGACAAGAAACTGATGTCAGTAACTTTTCTCCTGACACGAGACCACCGACCATGGACTGGTTCTGGCTGGTTTACAGAGGCTGCACTTGAGTACCTTGTACTCCTGCTTCACCTTTTGACATGAAGGGCCCGATTGTATTATATTCAAATGTTAAGTCTTCACCCCAAGGTGAACATGGATCCTATATCCTATATAATATGCATGTTTATTTAGCATGCACACTTTAGGACCTCCTTCATGAAAATTTCTAGCTTAGGCCAGGCTCGGTACCTCAGCCTGTAATCCCAGCACTTTGGGAGGCCAAGGAGAGTGGATTGCCTGAGCCCGCAGGTTCGAGACCAGCCTGGGCAACTTGGCGAGACCTCATCTCTACAATAAATCAAAAATTAGCCAGAAGCAATAGAGTGCCTGTAGCTCCGCCTACTTGGAAGACTGAGGTGGAAGGATTGCCAGAGCCCAGCAGGTCAACAATGGGGTGGCCGTGAGCGTGCCACTGCACTCCAGTCTGGAGAACGGAGTGAGACTCCAACTCAAACACAAAAAAGAAAGAAAAGAAAATTCTTAGCTCCTCCTGTAACCTGTTGAATATGTATGGTTAGCCAGCTTCTCCTCCTTCACAATGGCTATGCTTCCCAGCCTGTCAGGATGGCCAAAGTGCAGAATGTAACCCTTTAGAAGAAATAAAGTTTCCTTTCTAAGTTTATAAATGTGTTTTAAGTTGACAGTAGGGATCTTTGTTGGGCCACCAGCATCTGAGAGCTTTCTCCATGGCATGTGACAGTCCATGCCAGGAAAGAGCCATTGGTTCTGGTTACCTCCAGATCACTCACAGAGACCTGAGGGTGGAGTGCTAACAAAGAGGGGGCAGCTCACAAGGCAGTTAGCACGTCAGTGGATGCCTGTCCCACCTCCAGGGCAAGGCTCCCTGTTTCCTAATGCTTTGGCACATGCCAGCCCCAACAGCTGAGCTCCATCTTCATCTCCACCTGCTTCAGCTCAGGCTATGTACGCATCCTCATTCTTCAGCAGAGATCCCCAGACAGTGAGACCCCAAGCCTCAGACTTTTTCATCTTTGTCCTCCCAACACCCTCCCCCCGCGCCCCACACACACACACCTGCAGAACATCCTGCAAGGGTAGCTGAGCATCAACTACTGACTTAGCTTAACACCCAGACTTGGAGAACCAGTTACCTATATTTTTATCAGGTCATTTTTTTAACTTAGTTTTTCTCTCTAAAAGTAACAATCCATGAGTGTAATATATATATATATATATATGAGAGAGAGAGCGCGAGAGGGAGAGAGAGACAGACTTGAGTAATTGCCTATAGAATTTCCCCCCACTCAGAGTCCAGAGTAAGCTGGTCCAGTTCTTCCCAGGTTTTTCTGCATTTCTGAGTAATCAGTATGATTTTTCACACCACATAGATAATGAGAAATCCCTCTGGGCCATGAGAAGACGGAGTGCCCTCACCTTGATTAATCGCAGGGATGTCCTTGTCCCAGGGCACCTGGGTCCCCTCAAGGTTGAGGCCTTCTGAGAAGCTGGTACCACAGGCTCCTGGGCAGTTGGAAACTGAGGGTGCTCCTGAGATCAAACCTGACCCAGAAAGACAAGGACATACACACAGATGCTGGAGTGCCCCATCGGTGAGACAAGATGACAGGACATGAGTGGGTGTGGGTTGTCAGACCGCAAGACCCAGGCCCTTGACGAAGAGTAGGCCTCCAGCAACGAGCCCAGGAGCCTGCCTGGCCTCCCCCTCAACCCCAACCGGCGTCTAGACCTAGGCAACTTTAAGGAAGGAGCTAGGTCATGGGACCAAAAAGGCATGTGCACCACATATGAGGTAGCAGAGGGGAGAAAAGGGAGGCAAGGACAGACCTCAGGTTCTGATGCCCATGGCAGGCCCAGAGCTAGCCTCAGACCCTGCTCCATGACTGCTCAGGCTTTTGGAAAATGGGCTCAGCCTGGGTGACTCCTGGCCTGACCAGGCAGGAGTGGGGACTTACAGTCCCCTACCCTCACCCCAGTCCGAGGAGGTCTGATGTCTCCTGCCGGGCAGGATCCTCCAGTGCAACCCCTAGGAGTTGACTTCTAGAACACCCCACCGAGCCATTAAGCTCAGTTAGGATCCCTTCTGGCCTCTCCCCCGCGTTCTGGAGGCTGGAGCCAGCCCCAGGAGGGTCAGGCAGCCCCTTACCTGGCAAGGAGAGAAGACCCAGCACCCAAGGCCAGAGGCTTCCCATGCTCCACATGGCGGATCGCTGTCACCCCAAGCAAGCAAGAGGACCAGCCCCAGCAGGTCAAGGCAGCCTAATTCCAGAATCTGAGCCACCATCCCTCTTAAATCACAGCCTCTCTAGTTCTCACTTGCTCCCACCAACCACCTCCACCTGTGGCTCCTCCCTAACCACCTCCACCAGCAGCCCTACCCCAACTACCTCCCCCTGCAGCCCCACCCCAAGCACCTCCACCTGTAGCCTCACCCTACCTGTCATCCTCACCCCAGCCCAGGTCCCAGCCTTCTGGACCCGGGTCTGAACCCCTTCCTGTGTGGTGGGTGGAAGAGTAAGGAGGGGCCCACTTGGGAGCGTGGTTCTCCTGAGGTCCCCTCTTGCCACCAGGGGGCAGAGAAACATTACAAAAAGGTGCTCCAGGCCAGACTAAGGCTCCAGCCCAGGGAGGGACCTCATCCTCCAGCAAGGGAGACCCCTTTTTCTGCCCCTAGCCTGTGCTCAGACATGAGGATGACTGCCTGAGACACTGTGGCGCCCCCAGTGTATCTTTGGAAGGAGAGAAAGGTCACTGCACTTTTACAAGCTTTTATTTTAGTGCACAGAGAGAGTGGGAGCGTGAGCACACAACCGCCAAGTGCGGGGCTCTGGTAAATTTCACAAACTGAACACCCCATGTAGTCAGCACCCCAGAGAAGTCTGCCCTGTGGGAAGGGTGGGACTTTTAGATGCCCAGACCCTCGCATGGACACTACCCCTCTAACCTCCACACCAGTTGGCATGATCATTGTTTATTCCCATTTCTCAAACTTGGAAATTGAGGCTTCGTATCTAAATTCTTCTCCCTCTGCCTCAGAGCCAGGTCACCTCAACTAGATTGAAATCCTGGAAGTGGAGCATGTCAGCGCTGGGCAGCATTTGAGGACACCCACCATGGCCACCAGCACGCAGCAAAGGGGAGTGACAGAGCCAAGCATGTCAGATGTTGTCCACAAGGACCTCTTGGCTCTCCTGTCACACCTGAAATCCAGCGTTTCCCAAAAGATAGGAAATGGAATCACAGGGAGAACATGAAGGAGGCACATGCTGCTGCCGCCCTGGAAAGGTAATTAACAAATGTCAGAATGCACGTGATGAGTATGTGAATTAGCTTTGTTGCAGTAATCATTTCACAATGTATGTGTACATCAAAACATTACACTGTGACTTAAACATACACAGCTTTTATTTGTCAATTATATCTCAATAAACTTGGGAAAAAGTAAATTTTTAAAAAATCACCCACCAAAAAAAAAAAAAAAAAGAATACACGAAGCTAGCTGGATTTGGTGACTCACACCTATAATCCCAGCACTTTGGGAGGCAGAGGCAAGAGTCCAGGGGCTACAATAAATCTACAATAAACCAAAAAATTAGCTGGGTGTGGTGGCGCGTGCCCGTGGTTGCAGCTACTTGGAAGGCTGAGGCGGAAGGATCATCTCAGCCCAGCAGGTCGAGGCTGTGGTGGCCGTGAGTGTGCCATTGCACTCCAGCCTGGGTGACAGAGTGACACTCCTACTCAAAAAAAAGAAAAGAAAAAAGAATACATGAAGCTAACCAGTTAAGATGCATGTTTGGTGAAAAAGATAAAATAAAATAATGATAACAACAAATAATCACCCTGCCTGGGTAGAAAGATTCTCGGTCAAGAAATGCAGGTGGTCTTGAAGGTTATTTTGCTGAGTGAAATAAGCCAGCGACAAAAAGACAAATACCGCATGAGTCCATGTATGTCAGGTATCTAGAGTAGTCCAATTCATAGAGACAGACATGAAATAGAGGTCACCAGGGAATGGGGGAAGGGGAATGGGGAGCTATTGTTTAACAGGTAGAGAGTTTCCATTTTGCAGGATGAAAAAACTCTGGTTATCTGTCATACAACAATGTGCATACACCTTACACTATTGAGTACTTAATCATTGTAATGATGATAAATTTTTTTTATCAGTATTTTTTATTATGGTTTTGTGGGGTACAGTTAAGGGTTAGGTGTACAATTACGTTTCATTCAGGCACCCTGTTGATAAATGGAACATATTCTAAGATCGACCACATACTCGGCCATAAATCAAGCATAAACAAATTTAAAAGGACCGAAATTCTACCAAACACCTTCTCGGACCACAGTGGAATAAAAATAAATATTGACACCAACAAAGTCCCCCCAAAACCCACAAAGACATGGACACTAAGCAGCATGATGCTAAACAACTCCCGGGTCAACGACGAAATCAAAACAGGTATCAAAAGATACCTGGAAACAAATGAAAATGAAGAAACATCTTACCAAAATCTCTGGGATGCCCTGAAAGATGATAAATTTTATGGGTTTTTTTTTGGTTTTTTTTTTTGAGTTGGAGTCTCACTCTGTCGCCCAGACTGGAGTGCAGTGGCTGCTCCCGGCCACAGCAGCCTCAACCTGCTGGGCTCCGGCGATCCTTCCGCCTCAGCCTTCCAAGTAGCTGGAACTACAGGCGCGCGCTACCACGCCCGGCTAATTTTTTGGATTTATTGTAGAGATGAGGTCTCACCAAGTTGCCCAGACGGGTCTCAAACCCACGGGCTCAGGCAATCCACTCCCCTCAGCCTCCCAAAGGCACGGGATTATGGGCTGAGCCACGGAGCCCGGCTTGTTTTTTTTATTACAATTAAAAGTTTTAAAATAAATAGAAAATGAAGAGAAATAAATAAAAAGGCAGTTTTTTGGATGATAAACTATGAAAATCACAGAGAAGAAAGGGTATAGAAGGGGAGGGGAGAAACGAGTGGGGTCGGGTAAGGTGGGCAGAGGCTTCAGCCACCAGTCCTACCACATGTGAGAAAAGGCTGTGTGATAGGAAGTCCCCGAGGAAGTCCCTGATGACTTAGGGTCCCAGATGTGACACACCCACCCGGAGCTGGGTGCTGGGGTTACAGGCAGTTTCCAACAGAAGCCCACTCAAGTCCTGAGGAAGGCCAGACAGCAACCCCAGCTCTGCCTGAGAGCTGAGGGAACAAGGATCATCCCTCATCCAGCCTCACAGAGCAAGTGCCCACCTGTGCCAGGCTCCAAGCAGGGGCTTCGAGGACCACAGGCCCAGCCCTCATGCGTGTCCAGCCTTGTCCGGATGCATACCTGCATACCTGCTCAATGTCACTCCTAAGTAGTTAACGTTTTCTGAACACCTACCATACGCAGGCACTATGTGAATTGATTTGTGTAAGACTACACCCCAAGAGGTGGGGGCTAATGGTAAACCCCATTTTACAGACAAGGAAACTGAGATACAGCAAGGTTTACCAAAACTGGCCCCGTCATACACACTGC